GGATGCTTGCTTTGTTGATGGAGCCAATCCAACTTTGAAGAAGTAGATGTTTTAGCAGGACAACTTATTTTATGTATAACTTTTGTGGGACTTGTTTTATGTTTTCTTAAATTTTCAGACAAATAGACGAGGGAGGAATTAATTCCTAGAAAAAAATGTGTTGTTTTTTGTTTTTGCTTTAAAAACTATATATATATATATGGTTGAAAAAAGTTTTAGATTTACGTGTAATATTATTTTATGGAAGACTATATTGTTGAAAATAGAAGAGAGAAAAATGAAATTTAATTTAATGGGGACCAAATTGGGGCTAAATTTTTTAACATTTACAATAACATTACAATACTCTGACTAATGACATACCCAATTTTAACTCTTACAAAATAATGTAGTTCAATTTAAAATTATACAAATAACAAGTTGTCTAATAAGATACATTCACCAATATATGCAAATTATCAAAAAGTAAATAATAATGCTAAAACTTCGATGATTCCATCTCATCAATTCATTTACTTCAAGTCTTCAAATCTACATAAAATAAATGAAATATAAATTAGAAGTTACAGAAATAAAGTATTTTTAAGTATTACAAGTACTTTCCAACCATTTAAATTAAAGTGTAACGTTATTTGTACATAATGATATTTCATGTCATCATTTTGTATTCCATTATATACAAATAGCATTACCGTTAAACTAATCATCCATTGCTTGATTTATTACACTCGGAAATTCTACAATAAATAATTGAAAAAGTAAAATTAACAAAATATAAGTAAATGAAAATTTGTCTAACTAATAAGATTTAACATGAAAAAAATAATATATATTTTATTAACTGTCTCAATATCTTCGTAGAACCTTGTTTTTTCATTGCAAATTTTATCTTGGAAAACTTGCAAAAATCTAGATGACTCCCTTAACCAGTTTTGTGTATAAATCAAGGCCTCAACTATTTTAAAACTGAAAGAACTCTTATATGGATCAAGAATGCACCATTCAATACTAAATGCTGACTCAAAAGCAACTGTAGATACGGGAATGACAAGTACATCCCTTACAATCTTAGATTAAAAATTCAAATTTTGATTTATTGATCATTCCACTAATTTAAAATGTCAAAATTTCCATCAGTAGCTTCTTGAGTGGGTTCAATTAATTTTGGCAAATGAAACAGGAAAATGATATTTTTGGACTTAATTAACTAGTTGACAAATTTATTTAGAATTTTTTTTATAAAAAAATTGGCTTATGTAATAATATAAAAAAAAAATTTAAAAAAATTAGAGAAATTCAGTTCATCTAGAATCGAAAACCGAATTAAACAGTTCTCGATTTAATATCCGAATACCCATTTAGGTATTTAACTTAAGAATAATCGAATTGTTGGAAGAATTTTGTGAATAGTGACGTCGAAATAAGTATAATGATGGTGACAAAGTCGAGGCAAGAGTTGGACTCTTAGTCCTTAAGTCGAATTTGCCCCGTAACGGTGCCTACGGATTTCGGCAATCGACTCCCAAGATACAACGGCTACACTTGTGTTTGTAGCACTCCAAAACACAAGTACAACGAACCAAATGTAGGCTTATGTACTCCAAGGATGAAATGAAAGAAAATCAAAATAAATGAAATGATTTTTATTTTGGATAGAAGAGAGGATGAGAGACGTTTTTGCATATCAAACCGTGTGGAATAGGACACCCAAAGGGTCCTATTTATAGACCATGAAAGGGTGTAGACGAAATGGTTGAGGTCGATCCCCGTTTGTGCGCCCCGAAGCGGCGAAGTGGCAAACAATTTTGCCTAAACGGATTGAATCGAGCTTTTGAATATTTGGCCGAAGTCGATACGAACTTTAACCGATTTTCAATTCTCGATTTATTTAACCAATATCCAACACGAATCAAATCAAACCACTTGATTTGGTTTGAGAGTTTTGTCCAATCCTAAATAAATTTTATATTTAATATGTCATTATACATTTTAAAATTCTGAACTTCAATTCTCATGTTATAACAAGACAAGTCCTCACACTACACATTTGTAAACATTTGGAATGACGGTGCTAAAAATAAAAGGCTAGACATCCCAGTGCTGCTTTGAAAGATTTGGGGATCCTTGATTAAGTTCAGTAAAATACATGTTTAAGGAAAAGAAACTAAGAGTGCGTTTGATTGCGAGTATGAAATTTGTATGGAAAGAAATTTCTATGGAAATTATTAATTAAATGTGTTTGATTGATTTAATTTTCAACTTAGAAATTATAATATTTGTTCATTTTTTATTGATGAGTAGATGAAAGAGAAATGTGATAGATGAGAGAGACAGAGAGTGAATTATTTGAAAAATAAAAACCACATCTTTCTAAAGAAAATATTTTCCTTATTTTTGAAAAAAATATAATCATGTGACTAAAAGTTGAAAAATATTTTTCATGAAAAAATTGTCAATCAAACACCCAAAAAGTAAGAATTTGGATAAAGAAAAATGCCAATCAAACACATACTAAATCACATATTCAATATCTTCATAAATTAATACATAATAAGTTATCAACTTATTAGTTGATTTCATATAATCCCAACATTAGTAATGTGTAGGGTTTAATGGACTCAATTATTTTTAATATAGTGGTTTAAAAATTGACAAAGTAATACATGATCCTAATATTTAGTCCCTGTTTGGACGTCATTTTTCTATTTTTTTTTTCAAATTCATTTAATTCACATCCCAATAAAATAATTTTGCACGTGGATTCGTAATTTTTTACTTTTTTTTAACCACACAATCTCTAGAAAAATCAATTGCACAAAATTCATTCTAAAAAAAAAAAAACTACCAATTAGGAGCTTAATTTTTAAAATAAGTTGGATCTTAATGTGAGGATCACAAAGAGAGGGATAAAAATATGGCTCAAAATTCAAACAAGTACGAAATTGTATTGTTTGAAAGAAGCGCGATGAAAAAGAAACATATAATAAATGCATATACTTTACTAACTTAAGTTGTAGAGATACCTTGTGTATATATATGTTAGTTTTTACTTAATGAACAATGAAGCAAAGAATGTATACTTTGCCTAGCACTTGTATGTAGTGCTTTGTCATCTAAAATGTAGCGAACGAGTATTTTATCTCCGTATTCTAAAATTACAGTTCATTAACTAAGTATCTGTTTTGTCCAGCTTAAAATCTAATTTTTAGGAGGTTTTGCATAATCTTGAACAATTAATTCCGTTTAAATAATTCGTTGAATGCAATTTCAATGAATGCTCATGGACAGATTCAACCGTTGCAACTAATGTTTCCCAATTTTATCCTTCATTTCGCTAGGAAAAATTTACATTGAAGGATTTTGTCATGGGATTATTTTGAGTGCCAGGGGACCACAATGGCAGGGAACAGGTGTCCCTAGCACGATAGAGATATTTGAATCACCACTCATCGGATGATCCAGTCTCACCCAATGAGGTAACCCTACCTTGAGACTTGAAATGAAAAAAAGAAAGAAACTCAAGTTCAAGGGTGGCCTCACCTCACGCCTTGCGAGGTGAGGCTAGGCCATCCGATGAGGTAATCGCTTTTCATTGGACGATCTCACAACGTAGGATGGCATTGGGCAAAATGTCCTATACAAGTAGCACGATTATTGTGGGAGTAACAAAAAACATCCACAGCTCTTGTTTAGGGGACATGTCTAGCTTCTATCAAATCATTTGCCCGGGGCAAACAAATTTTGAATGCAAAATGAGATTTTTTTTTTTCTTTTGAGAATAAGGGAACTCAAACATAGAATTAAATATGATGACTCCCTTTTTTATACTTTCTCCTTTTTTTGTTATTTATTTATTATAATTTTCATTTAAAACAATGAGTTTGACAAATTAATTGCTTCGTAAGAAATTTTGTTTTCCGAGCTCATAATTTCATTACTTGAAAGGTTACCTTTTTACAAACAAAATGCATATCTTTTTTTGGGATCAACTAAGTCCTTTTTTACTCTTTTGTTTGCCTTCATTTAATAGGAATTAAAATCAAATTTTTAGTAAATTTGATAAAAGCTGATAATTATATGTGATCAAAAAACTTAATTTTGATAAATGATGAAATATATTGTTGAAAAGTTGATTAAAATTCATTATTGATTTTGATGTGAGATTTTAATCTACACTAACATATACCTCAAAATCAAAAATTGTACTTTTGAAGGTTTAAAATTCGTAATTATACGATTTAAAAAGTTAGGTAGTTCAGTCTTAATTTACTCACCTTTATTTTACTTTAATTTAAATTGGACCCAACATACTATAAGGCTTGTTTGATAAAGCTACTTTTTGTTGAAAAATTGGTCAAATTGAATTTCTAATCACCCGTTTCTTATTATCACGAACTTATATCCACCTTTTAATCAAATATTTAATGAGATTCGTCAAATTTTATCAACTTTCATCGCTAAAGAGTCCAAACATGGACATAAACTTGCACAATCTACACTTCACTGACAGAAAGTCAGTCAACAAGTATAAGATGAAAACTGAAAAATCAAACATTTTGTTGGCTACACATATATCATTTTCATTGAATTGTTCTTATTTTCTAGAATTAATGTTACTATATATGCCTGTTCTTAAGCCATCAGGTTCCATAATTTCTTACCTAATCAACGTTCGTTTGTTGTGTTTTGTTTGGATGAAAACATAACATCTATATCGACCACAAATTTTACACATATTCTAATTAGCATTGGAGAATATTTAATAATTCTTGGTAGAAAAAGCTTGACTATTGTTAATATTTAAATTTATTTAAATTCTATTACCGTGCAGGGGTGACGAAGATATATTTGTCCAAAAGCAAGTAAAAAGATACTGAAACGAGAGAGAGAAAAGAGAACGGAGGCAATGACGTACAGGCGGTGGACCCAATCCTTCGCCGCATATGGACACACTATGGGTCGTGGGCTCAGCCTGAAAGCGTTGCTGCACCCCCACCTTCCCCCCTTCTGCTGCCTCTCTCTCTTTCTCTCTCTCTCGTTTTCTCTCTCTACTTATTTTTGCGTGTTTTGATTATAGAAGATGAGAAAAATTTATGAAAGAAAAAGAGGGAAACAAGAAATAAATGCTGTGGATATGTGTGTGTTTGTGTGGGCTTGACAGCAAGGCATATAGATGAACCTGAGTACGGCATCTTTTTCGAAAACTTCATTTCATTTCAGGAAAAAGGAAGATAGCATTTTTTAGCTCTAGCTCTAGCTCTAGCTAGCCAGCCATGGGTTGATATATGCATCTCTCTCTCTCTCTCTTTCTCTTTTAATATTTTGCTTGATTTTGGTTGCTTATATATATGTGTGTAGTTCGGATGATATGTTTTTGGTTTTACTTTTTGATTAATTTGCATATATAGCTAGGAGTTGAGAAGAAGAAGTTGTTCATGAATTCTGGGATAAGATTTGGAAAGTTCTCAAATTGCATGTGAATATATATTGACGGGGTTGATTAATTAGTACGACAAGGGATTGATTCAATGGCAGCTTCTTCTTCATCAGCAGCGGCACCTTTTCTTGCAATGAGAGACCAAGAACAGAATCAGATGAAACAAAATCATTCATCAGCACCATCTTCATCAACCGCTCCACCGCCCCCGCCGCCAAAGAGAAGAAAAAATCAGCCTGGAACGTCAAGCAAGTACCAAAAACTTGAATCCAATTATCTGATAAGCTTTCAGTTTTCATTTCAAGAAAACCCTAAATTTGAATGGTTTAAACAAGAATTGAAATGGATTTATTATTATTTTTTTTTCAAAAAAAATAAAAAAATAAAATTTGATAACAGATCTAGATGCAGAGGTGATAGCACTATCTCCCAAGACCCTAATGGCTACAAACAGATTCCTTTGTGAGGTTTGCAACAAAGGGTTTCAAAGGGAGCAAAACCTTCAACTGCACCGAAGAGGACACAACCTGCCTTGGAAACTAAAGCAGAAGACAACAAAAGAGGTTAAGCGTAAGGTGTATTTGTGTCCAGAGCCCACATGTGTACACCATGACCATTCAAGAGCACTTGGAGACCTCACTGGTATTAAGAAGCATTACTCAAGAAAACATGGAGAGAAGAAGTTCAAGTGCGAAAAGTGCTCTAAGAAATATGCAGTACATTCTGATTGGAAAGCTCACTCAAAAACCTGTGGTACTAGAGAGTACAGATGTGACTGTGGCACTCTTTTCTCAAGGTAAAATTGATCATAAATCATATCGATCTGGGTTTCGAAGCTAACTCACTTCTTTACACTGTAGTTATTAATTTGTTGGGTTGGTTTCGATTTCATTCAAGAAAGATGCTAAGTAAGTGAACCTGGAATTCTTACACAGATGTAGAGGTAAAGAGAGAAACGCTTGTCTTCTTCGGTTTTAGCCTTTTAGGGCTTTTGATTATATCAAGTAAAAAGTCTTTTTAATCGCTTACAGATTCTCATGAAAATGGCCCTTTCTTTCTATCTCTGCATAAACTTTTGGTTGAGTTTTGATTTTCTCTTGTTTTTGGATCCTTTGTGGAAAAAAATGACTGCACGTGAATTTATCTTTGGAAAAAACGCCATGGTTGTCAAAAAAACACATGTATATCTCTCTACCTTGCCTTCATGGGGACAACCATCCTTTGTCCCATTGAGGTTTTTAACTTTTTTTACTTATTCATCAGTGTGTAAAAGTTTAATCTTTACCAGGTTTGTTCTCTTATGGGTTGGCTAGATTCGTTTAGGTCTGTATTCTTGCAGATAACACTTTTCATGATAACATTTTGAGACTATAATCTAATTCATCTATCACCTCTCAGTCACATACATACACAGTGACATAATGCAATTATTTGGTTTTGAAGCAGTGTTCTCGATTTTTTTTTTCTATTTTTATTATTATTATTTTTTTGGTACCAGGATTTGTGTTCTTAACTTGTGGAGTACTTTAATTCAATACCTAAATGACTGTTTGATTGATTATTTTCACCATATGATGATTCTGCAAGTTTTTTTTATTTTACAAAACTTATGGTAGGACTTTGTTGATTGATTAATCATTAAAGAATTTTAGAAATTCTGTCACCTAACATTTTCATTCTCAATTTTTTCACTATATATATTTCTGAAAGTGATAAACTATCTACAAATTTCAAACTTATTCTACCAACTATAATCTATAAGGATTCTCCAGTTCAAGACTATGTAATAAAACAAGGTTATTTTATATTATAAAATTAAATTTGTTTTACCCTCTTATTTGTTTTAATCAGTTCGAGCGAAAAAACCCTTGTATAATTCTTGTTTCTTAGTGAACCCTAATTAATGATACTGTTGAGATGGAGATTTACCTCACCGATCGATTGTTTTTTCAAAAGAAAAATTGTGCAACTGCTGTCTAATGGGAGTCATGATACGTGAGATAATCCTTGTCATAATAACAAGTGGCATTCTGTTAGTGGAGTGTTTTAAACACAGTCAATTTTTTCATCAAAACATCTGTTGCCACCTCCGATAATGTCACTGTATCTGTAAAATTTCTTCTGGCAAAGTGGCAAATTCGCCTAATGATCATATTGTTGCAGGCGTGACAGTTTCATCACCCATAGGGCCTTCTGCGATGCACTTGCTCAAGAGAGTGCAAGAAACCTCAATCCAACCTCATTAAGAAGCATTGGCAGCCATTTATTTGGCAGTAGCAACATGAGCTTAGGCATCTCCCAAATGTCCACCGGACATGATCAAAACCAGCAGCAAGCAATATCAGCTGATTTACTACACTTGGGTAGTGGAAGATCTGGCCAATTCGATACCCTCATTGGCTCAACCTTTCAGCCTTCCCAAACATTGCCTTCTTCAGCTCTCTTCCTGCCCGAATCGAGCCATGATAGTCAATCTTCACATGGGCTACCGTCGAATAAGTCACTTCATGGCCTATTGCAACTTCCTGAACTTCAGAAAAATCCCAACTCATCTTCGTCAACAACCAGTCTGTTTAACCTCAGCTTCTTTTCGAACACTAGTGGCATCGACAATAACGATAGCATTGGCAACAGCAATAACAGCAGTAACATATCTTCATCCTTATTGTTTCCCAATCATTTCAACAATGGACATTCCAGTGGCACTGGAGGCGGAGAAGGATCCAGCCTTTTCTCTGCAGGTAATCTCATGAATACTGATCACATGAGTGCTTCTATTCCTTCCCTCTACATCTCATCCCTTCAAAGCCAGTCAATCAGTGCGACACAAATGTCTGCAACTGCACTTCTTCAGAAGGCTGCTCAACTGGGTTCGACAACAAGCAACACCAGTGCTTCACTGCTGAAAAGCTTCGGCACCTCATCCTCAAGCGTCACAAAATGCGATTATCCTCTTCATTCCGCGACTAACTTTGGAACGATCTTCGGGGAGAATAATGGGAATCATTTCAATGACCTAATGAGTTCCATAACTGGTGGAAATTCATCCATTTTCGGAGGCAACCCCGTAGGGATCAACACTCATCCATATGGTGGTAATGAACAAGAGAATGACTATGGAGGATACAGCACGACCAATAAACTCAGCTTTGAGCAGCCATTGGAGAAACGCCAGAGTCCAAGTTTCAGCAACATGGAGCAAGGTAGATTGACGAGAGATTTTCTTGGAGTCGGGCTCGTTGGGGAGATAGTGAGAAATGTAAGTGGTGGATTTGGGCAGAGAGAACAGCAACATGGCATGACTTTGAGCTCTATGGATTCAGAAGGAAAGACTGCGCCGAAAAACCAACCTTTCGGAGGCGGGCACTTTCAATGAAGAAAAATATATGAACGAGAGAAAGCATGAAAGTACAGGTGCGTCAAATAATTTGCTTTTTGCCATGATTTCAGTATTAAAAAAAAAAAAAGAAGGAAAATAAGAAGAAGAATGGGAATTTAATTCACACGAATCTTTACTTTTTGTTTTTGTCAGTCTTATTTGGAGTTAGTCAGTTGTTTTGTTTTGCATTATAGTCCTTATTTTCTGATAATCACATGAAATATCATGTTTGTTTTGAAATTGATCTCGACTTTTATGCTAGTTGCATACTTGTAGGGTTGATGAGTAGTGAAACTAGTTTAGGTTTTTATTGTTTAATCAACACGTCGAAGATCATCCGTTGGTAAAAGTAATTCACTTTTAGCTACGATAATAAGCAACGGATTTTTCATTGGTAAAGATAATATCTCTTTATCAACCGATATTCTGTACCTAATATAATCGTTTAACATTTGGATCTTCCTCCAACGGATATTCCGTAGGTGATGTACCGAATATTACCAACGGATTGCATCCATTGGTAATTAGAAACGGATTATCCGTTGGCAAAAGTAATTCACTTTTAGTTACAATAATCAGCAACGGATTTTTCGTTCGTAAAGATGATATCTCTTTACCAATGGAAATTCCGTGCCTAATATAACCGTCTAACATTTTGATCTTTTACTTACGGATATTCCGTTGGTAATTAGAAATGGATTATCCGTTAGTAAAAATGATATCTCTTTACCAACGGATATTCTGTGCCTAATATAACCGTTTAACATTTTGATCTTTCAGCAATGGATATTCCGTTGGTAAAAATAATTCACTTATCCCACATTGGAAGTTTACAACAATATCTTTGTAGTTGCCCTCTATAAATTTGTGGTCCAATAAGAAGTTAAACAATATTATAGCCTCTCAATTCAATTGGCTAAAAAATAAAAATAAAAATTATAATTATTAAATAAATAATAATAATAATAACAATAATAAAAAATAAATAAATAATTTTTTTTTTACCATACGGTTAATTACAACATTGATTTTTACCAATTGCAATGGTAGACATTTACCAACGGAAAGTCGGTTGGTATTGGTTAAGATTTTTACCAACGAAAATTTCGTTGGTAAAAAATTCACACTTTACCAACGAAAAATTCGTTGGTAAAATGTTTACTCTTTACCTATGGCATGATCCATTGGTAATTATCAGTGACCCTCAAATTACCAACGGATTTGTGGTTGTAAATATTCCGTTTGTGAAAACTATTAGCAATGGATATTGAGACTTTAGGAACGAAAAATCCGTGCCTAAAATTCTGTTTTTAAGTAGTGAATGGAGGCTAAAATCAAATTTTTAGTAAATTTTCATAAAAATTCATAAAATTTATATTTGAAAATTGTGAATTTCGTGAAATACGCGATTAAAATTAATTATTAATTTTAACTTCAATAAAAATTAAACTTTTAATTTCCACCAAACAGGGAGCCATATATATATATATATATATATATGTATGATTTGAACACCTTTATTAAGAATCAAATAGATAAAAATTAAATATTTCTTATTTGCTTTTACAATAATATTTTCACATCGAACTTAAACTAACATTATGGACCTCTTGAGCAATTTTTTTTATTCATAATTTCATTTTTTCCCAAAAAAGTATTAAAATTAATTTTGCTTGTTTAAAATCTGATTACTGTGGTCATAACTTATAAGCACAATCTAGATAAAATAATTATATATTTAGAAAAAAATAAAACAAAATAGCGATGGTTATTATAGGAGCTAGGAATTAATTTACATGTGTAGAAATATAATATTAGTAACAAATTAACTTTAAAGATTATACGAGTAGCCTAATATCTACATTAAGACAAAGTTAAAGGGCGTTGTAGAATTTTTAAAAAAACATTAGGGACTCTTTAGATAATTATCCCTTTTCTCCCATCCCATTGTGTCTTGTCCTTCTCAGTAATTATTTCCTTTCATTTTGGTTCCTGTCTTTACCTGAACTCAATGCACTGTCCTTTACAAGTCACGGGTGCTGTGTTTTTTGGGACCTCATTAGATTCTTTGGCATATTTTTCACGTCGTACAATATTGAAAATAAATTTATAATTACTTAGCTTCGATATTTTATTTCGTACGAAATTTATTCAATATGATAATTATCGCAGGAACTTCGACTTTGTTCAAGAGGATGCTTGCTTTGTTGATGGAGCCAAGCCAACTTTGAAGAAGGTATATATATTGAAAGACAAGTAGAATGCCGTGATTATGATAAACCTAGCAGGACAACTTGTTTATGTATAACTTTTGTGCAACTCTCTTTGTGTTTTCTTAAATTTTCGGAAAAATAGACAAGGGAGGAATTAACTTCTAGAAAAAAGGTTTTATATTTTTGTTTTGGATTATTCCATATGTATCGAATGGGGGTCCCGAATGGTGTCCACTCTCTCACAATGCATATGGACTATCGAGAATTTCAAAATGCCGACATGTAGTCCCCATCCTTGTTGTGATTAGTAGGTAAAAAATTCGATAAAAAATATTCGGTACGTGTAGCATTGTCTTTTTGTTTTTAGAAAAGAAAGTATCATATTTGTTGTTGAAAATAATAATTATACAAGAAAAAATTAAGGAAGATAATTGGCATGAGAAGATAAGATTTTTTGTATGAAGTATAAAATGGAAGTTCATAATTCAGAAAGGATATCAGTGGAAATTAAAATTAGATTTTCAGTAGATTTTGATAAAAGTTGATGAAATTCGTGATTGAAAAATTGTTTGTCACATGAATAACCTGATTAAATTTAATTGTTGAATTTGATTTAAAATTAAAATCTAGATTTTAATCCCCACCTACCTACCAGGGACTTAATTTCAAGAAAAAAGTTTTAATATTTTGTTTTTATAAAAGAAAATATCATATTTGTTGTCGAAAATATTAATCATACAAGAAAAAACTACAATATAGTTCGGAATTAAGGATAGTTACCGGCATAAGTCTCAACTGTCGAGTCCAAAAAAATTGTTTAAAAACAACAATTCTATGTGATTTAACCATATATCGACCTGAAAAATTCCAAGGTATCAAATTCCAAGCTATGAAGTGTAGACTGGAAGTTCATAATTCATAAAGGATATCTTCCATATCCTATTTGATTTCCTTTGAGATTAATAATTTTTTGATCTTAAATTGATAGTACTCCAAATATTTGATTTTGAAACAAAATGATATGAGGAATTTACTATCATGTTAAATAATTACTCAGTATTTTAATTTAAAAAGAAATTACGTCTTTGCACTCTCAGTATGTTGCAACATCAGCAAATCATGTTACAGCATATGGAGTTTTGTTGTCAAAACCTTTTTTTTTGTTTTTAATAAATTAAAACACACAATTTCAACCATAGACCCTAATTTATATCTTTCCATTATTTTCTCTCTCTAAACCATCTCTCACCATCCCTCTCTTCTTTCTTCTCTCACCGTCTCTCTCTTCTCTGCTTTATCTTTGTCGGCGGCGAAGCTCGCACCATTGCCGCGAGATGCGGTGTAGATCGCGACGACATAGCGTGGTGGATATAGCAACACTCTGTGCAGATCGCGGCGATTCCTCTCTTCTGTCCATCTCTATTGGCGGCGCAGCTCGAACCACTGTCGCGAGATGGGTGTGTGTGTACGTGGGTGTCGGGGTGTGTATGCGGTAGAGGTGGCGTGAGGCTGTGGTGGTGTGGGTGGAGACGGTGGCGTGCGAGTGGTGCATTGCAGATTTCCCTTTCGTTGCAGTGTTGTGGATTTTGTGTGGTGGTGGTGCGCTACGATCGTTGCAGCGTCGTAGATTTCGTGCAGTAGTGGCGTACTATAAATCCCCGATTTGTGGCGATTAGAGTTGGACAAAACTCTCAAACCGAACCCGACGGTTCTTCTCAAATTAAATACTCAAACGGGTATTTAAATCAAGAACCAACGGGTATGGTTCGGCTCTCGGTTCTAGGCCAAGATCCGAAAAATCGAATCTCCTTAATTTTTCTAATTAATTAATTTTAAATAAGTAAAATTATTTTATTTTTTCTAAATAAATTTGTTAACTAGTTAATTTAGTTCAAATCACAAAATATGATTTTCCTATTTCTAATTTTCAGTTCAAAATCAACTTAATCAAATTGACCTCAATTTTATCCAAATATGTTATTTTACTGTAGTGTCGTTTCTACAAAAGAAAATCGAATTAAAACTCTACAACATCTCTCTTAATTATTTTGAGCTCGCTATTTTTCTCTTTCTGTGATTTTAATAATCAAATTTATGAAAAATTTAGCAAAGAGAGACGTGAAATATATAAGATTGAACTATGTTATTTTGTAAGAGATAATATTGAACATATCATTAATTAAATTAACGTAACTTTGTATATATTAAAAAATTTAATTATAATACGGAATCGAATGGAACCGAATCCGAACGGTTCCGTAATTAAATTTGGACCCGCCGATTTCACTTACTAAATACTCGAAAATTTCGGGTCGGTTCGATTCTCGTTAGAACCGAATCGAATCGGACCATGTCCAGCCCTAGTGGCAATCGTGGATTTTGTGTGGTGGCAACGACGATGTTTGTATGGTGACAATGTTGCGGTGGGTGGTTGATCTAGCGGTGGGAGTTCGCTGGCAATATTCAAAGGGTGGCGGTGGTTTGTTTGAACTTTTCCGGTGAGTTGTTTGAGGTGCTGTGGTGGTGACTCTCGGCGGATCTGGTGTTTGTGTGGACTGTGACTCCCAATTATGGTGTTGGTGTGTAGCGGGTGGTGGCGACGGTGATGGCGATGAGAATTGTGACTGTAACTGACTCCCACAATTCACAATTGGACACGTAATCTGAAAATTGTGACTATAACTCCCAATTGTGATTCATGATTGATTAAGTTGTGATCTAAAAATTAATCGTGATCAATTAATCCAATAACTTGCAACGAGTAAATGAATTGTGACCAATAAAAGTTTTGAATTTGTGACCGATAAATAATCTGTGACCTATAAAATTTTTGGATTTGTGATTGAAAAATATTCTGTAACCTATAAAATTTTTTATTTGTGACCGAAAAATAAGTTGCGATTAATAATTTGATAAGTTGTGACTAAAAACTAATCTGCGACTAATTAATTAGATAACTGTGACAAAAACTGTGACTTAAATATATTTAATTAATAAAATATATGTTTAATAAATTATTTTATAAATAAAATTTTAAAAATTTTAATTTTTGAAACTTTAAACCTTTCTTTTTAATTTTGAAAAGGGGTATACTTACCTTCTTAGAAATGAATGTTTCCCGCACTTGAAATCTTGATATACCTTGTCCATATACTTGTATTTACCTAATGTAAAATAAAGCAAAGCACTTATTTTATGCCTTTTTTAACTTCTAATAAAAAGGGAAATGAGAGTCTACTATTCATGCAATAGTAAATTAATCCAATTTTACTATGCATGATGTCATTTTTTATTTTTCATTTTGTTTATATCAAACAAATGTTCTTCCACACATCATCCCACTAACATTAAAAAAATAATTATTTTAAACAAATGTTATTCCACACATTATGTCACTAGCATTAAAATAATAATAATAATTTTAGTAAATATAAACTGCCATAAGAAAAAAAAACTCTTCGCATATGAATTTTAAAAAAATAAAAAATAAACTTTCCGCACAGTGCGGAGAGATGGCAAACCATGTGCGGAGTAAAAAAGGAAGAAAAAATTCTCCGCATAGTGTAAAGAGATGACAAACCATGTGCGGAGAGTTGGAACTCTCCGTATAGTGCGAAGTGAAAAAAAATCTCTTCGCACAGTGGGAGAGATGACATTTTGTGCGGACAGTCCGCACAATCTGTGCAGACACTGTTCTCACAAAGTGCGGAGTAAAAAAAACCAAAAAAAAATTTGCACGGTGCGGAGGGTTGGCAAACTCTCCATACAGTGCGAAGTAAAAACAAAAAACAAAAAAAAAAAAACCTCTCCGTACAGTGACTATCACATGCGTTGCACAAATTTTACATTTATCGTATTTTTATTAGTGTATGAATTTTAGTTTTTTGGAAAATTTTTGAAGCAATATCTAGAAATATTTTCATGATATAAGAAAATAATTGTAAATTATTTTTACAATTGAATGACAGTATTGTATCATCTAGAAAAAATATACTTATATATTTTATACTTGAATAAGAAATATACGAGATTATACAAATTATTTTGCTTGTATTCTTTGATAGTGTTGATATAATTGAGTTGAATGTGAAGATTATATTTCTAAATTTTGTGTAATTCAATATTGGAAAATTAAAGATTGAGTACCATATTCATAGGTATTTAAATTTTGTGTTTCATATATATTTAATATTTATTTTATACTTATATTGAAAAAATAAAAATTTGGAATTTTTTTTGAAATTCGGTTTGATAAGTGAATGTATGTTGTTCTGTATTCTTGGTATTTGTAAGTGCAAAAATCGGTATATAAAAATATAGTAAGCTGCAAATACAGTAAGCAGCATATACGGTAAATTGCAAATACGGTAGGCAGCATATATGGTAATGTGCAAATACGGTAAACTGCAAATACAGTATGCATCATATACGATAAGCTGCATATATAGATTTATAATTTGTTATAAATGTATAAAATTTATTTAATATTGAATTTTTCAAGTATTAAATGTTGTAATTCAATATTGTTTCTTTTTTTATAATTGTATTTTCGAGAATTAAAAAAAAAAAGTGGTTATAAAATTGCTAATTTTTAAATGTGTTTTTTTTTGTTAAAGATAAAAATGATTTTTTTATGTTATTTGTAAAAAAAAATTATTATAATTTTATTACGTAATAAGAAGATTTATTATGCATTTTTATTTTTTGTATTTTGTGAAGAATTTTGTTTATAATGATTGACAAATATTCTTCCACACACACATCATGCCAATAACATTGAAAAATTAATAATAATTTTAGTATATATAAACTCCATGTGACAAAAAAAAATCTCCGCACATGAACAAAAAAAACTCCACAAAGTGTGGAGAGATGACAAACTATCTCTCCGCACAATGTGAAGAGAAAAATAAAAACTCTTGAGATTTTATCTGCAAGTTCCAAAAGACATTTTCTCAAATAACTTTTGAGTAATGCATTGAACACTTTAATTCCTGTCCTACAACTTGAAAGTACAATTTCATTGAAAATTGCATCCGCTTTTAATGTCCAAGAGCTGTTATCAAGCAAGTGTAAAATATTGAATTTGGGTGGTACCCTAGAGCCTCCATTTGTGAAAACAATGCCATGGAACTATCAATATCACCTTCTTTACACAACTCACATATTGTTTCATTGTATGAGTCGCGACAGAAC